TTCGTCAGCTTGACGTTTATGAGGTTTGGTGGGCAGTACGTCCACCCCCCACCCTCTCCCTTTTCAGGCGTAGCTCTTACAGTTTCCCACGAGTGCCGTGACTCTTCCAAAAAAATGGTCAGAGTAGAGCCCAGAATCCAGATCCTCATCATTCCTTTTCTAGTTTATTTCACTGCTTTTCTTCTGACAAGACAATTTCAAAAACAAGCTCCACATCTTTAATAAACCAGAATGTCTGGGTCCAGCATTTTCTGGGTTAATTGCATTTCCCATATCATTAAAATTTTCTTCTTCCCTCACTCCACCCTACATCACAAATACCTCTTGGATTTTGTTGTTAAAAATCTTTTCAAATGCTTATTTCTACTCTCTTAGCACTTGGTGACTAAAAAAATTTTATTAGAGCAACATTCTGAAATTCACTGTTCACTGAGGAAGACTCTAGGTTGAGAAAAGTTGGCCACCTTGAGAGTCTTTTTTGGATCGGTTACTCGAGGTGATGATATTTTTTTGCAATGTGGCTCCCTCTCTAAATACACAGGAGCCACCTTTAAGGTGCATAGGGGCTATAGGAAGCCCTGAATTCCTGTAGCCCGCACACATGTCTGTGGAAGAAAAAAGAAAAAAGAACTTTTTGAGCTAACGCTTTAAAACAAAAACAAACCTGCAATCCACCCAAAAAACACCCTTCCATGACCACTTTTTCTTATTTGTCACACTTTTGTGATTTTTATCAAAGCAAAGCAGAGCTTCATGTTAGTTAAAGCAGCAAAAACATTTATTACTGCATCAGGGAGTAGAGACCTCAGTGTAGAACTGGGCTCAATTCTAAATACAACAGGACAATTGGGAATTTGAGCTGAGGAGCAAGGTGGGGTCAGTGGATGGGAAATTACTAATGTAAACATCAGGGATGAAGGGTGATTTCTGAATAATTCAGGGTTCTTGCTGAAGTCAGGTCTGAGTGATCATATATCATTTGGGGGCTGATGCAGGGTAAGGAACGTGATCAAATATGCAAGTTGACCAGATAGCAGTTGTCCTCAGAAGATAGGGGGTTCTCCATAAACTGACTTAGCACGATTTTGGCTTCGGAAAACAAGGCCCAAGGATGAGGCCTAGCTGAAAAGGGCTGAGAAGAGCCTGACTAAAGGTTAGTTAAGGGACGAGTCTTTGTTAGATTGTTGCCTTTTTCATCTGCAACATTTCTGATGACTGTTTTTTCCAAATACCTTCTACTCTACCCTTGATATTTATTTAAACGATGGTCCTAGTTGTATGAGCAAATCATTTGGTGTCCTAAGGCACAAGGCTTGCTTTGCCTGGGCCTCTTAATATACTCAAGTTGGTCTCAAGAGAATACAAAAAAGAATTTTCTATATTCGTGGAGATTTTGGTTATTAGGGGGTTAGAGAACTTAAAATTCTCTTTTATTAGTCAAAGAACATTGAAGCTAAACTGAAGTTTATTCCCTTAAGTTTTGAAAAAACTCTGTCCATATTCTGGCAAGCATTTCCAAGTATCATCTACTCCTTTACTAGATGCAAGTTTGCAGCAAGACAACACTCTCCTCCCCGATAATTTGCTGAGTACCACCTCTTGAGGATGGAGGTGAGGCCTTGGGAGAAGAATGAAATAGTGGCATGGACTGAAGGGGACTCTGTTCAAGGAAACCAAATATATACCAACAGCGTAGGTACAAATACCTCGTCATGAGAGCTCTGCATCCTCGGAGGGGAAATAATTGAGTCGAAGATCAGTCTTATTGATTTTTGTCTGATGCATCATTTTGATTCACTTCCAAGTTATTTTTTTTTCCCCACTGCCAGGAAGTTTCACTTTGTCAATATGCTTCACAGGAAAGAATTGAAGGCGAGTTGGGGGTGTGGGGAAGGGAGTTATGCATTTCTCTACTGTATAACTTAAGCAAGTACCATGCCAGATTTATTACCCAATCATTTCTAGGCATTTCTCTTTGGGTTTTACATTTTCCCATTGGGATAACTGATATTTATATGCAAAGTAATTTAAAATAGTTAGGATTAGCTTTAAGGCATGCCAGATAATTGCATTCTTACGGTGTTTCTTCCTCCCTCTGTCTCTGTCATGAATAGTTGTTTTTTCACTTTCCATGCTAACAATAAATTTCTGTGTGCCTTTTACTTGTTTGCAACAAATATTTGTTGAAGAATGGATTTGAATAAACACTTTTGTAGCTCTCAGCTTTACAAAAAATGGGGAGATTAAGAGGACATCCTTGTGCTTAGCTGCCAGCATTTTTGTAGGAGTCAGGCTAGTTTCTCTGGTTCTCCCTGGAAGATTATTGTCAAAAATAGAAAATGGGCTTTTGGGACTCGTATCTCAAAAGTGACCCTCTTTTGGTGGAGAAAAAGGGCAAAATTTTTGTTTTGTTGTGAGTGGCTTATGTCATTTGAAGGAACATTTGAAAAAATTATGTCCCTGGACAGCAAAACCATAATCGAGTATTTTAGAGAAATTATACGGTAATTGACTCCTAATGAGTTCCTAATAATACTGCTAAAAATATGAAAGAGAAAACTCTGTGCCATTACCACATTTTTCTTGGGGGCGTGTGCATGCATGCATACACACACACACACACACACAATTGCTGCCAGGCTGTTTAAGATTCCCTTCCATTTAATTCTGATGTCAATGATGCAAAAAAAAATCTCTGGAAAACAATCAAAGAAGCTTCTGCCAAAAAAAAATTATTGGAAGTCAATTAAAAATTTTTCTGCCATCAGGTGCCATATGTTGCAGTGGCCATCTATAGGTTAACACACACACACACACACACATACACATATATATAATATGTATAAAAATCTGTTTATATTTTATATATTTATATATTTTCATTTTCCCTAATGGTAATTAGCTATAAATTGGCATCTCCATGACATTGCTTTAAATACATTTGGCTAAAAAGTGTCCAAACTTGGGATCTCAGCTTTGTTCTTTTCACATTTTGTTAAACTTTTGAATCAATCTATTTTCTTTGTCTTTGAAATTCTTATGCGGGACAAAGGATTCTCTGGATTATGAAAGAATGCTACTATTAAAATGTGACTCTGGACCTGTGGGTCTACCAAAACTCAGAAAAAGTGACTGAGTGTCACTTGATCATTGATCAGATGGGTTTGTCTGAAGCACATCTCGGAGGTCGCAAATGTATTAAGAGAGGCTCGTGCATTGCTCTGAAAACACCGTGAGAGCAGAGCCCTGGGCTCTGTCCTTTTTACCGTTGTACAGTATCGCATGGATCAGGTGTGCATGTGCGTGAGGAGTCTCAGGCAGACGATGTGCGGGCAGAGTTTTCCGTCCTGGTTGCTGGCGACTTCTTTGTAGCAGGACAGTGCAATGCAAATACCACTAACTAATTAATGGAGCCTCTTTCTTTTCCTATCTGTTTATCTTCTCCAGAAGTTAGTAATGGGATAGACTTTGGGGAGCTGTAACAGGTAGGGGATGAGGAGTTTTCAGTACAGTACTTATCACTGCTGGGAACTTAGATCTGCCCCCGTCTAAGTATTGCAGGCCACCTGAAGGGTCGCTTAATAGCAGAAACTCCAGAAGACAAACATTGACTGAACAGTGCTCCCAAAGTCCGAAATGCTAGGCTCTTATGGACAAAGTAACTTCTTGAGTTGCTGAATATCTTTGATGTCTGCCTTCTGGGTGTACTCCCACCAGCTCGTCTCTCCGTTCCTTGTGTATCAATGGATAGAAAATAGAATGCTGCTTTTGGATTCTGGTAGGCCACCCCTTGTCCACTAAAAAATACAAGGATGACGGACGCTGCTTTTGGATTCTGGTAGGCCACCCCTTGTCCAAGGATGTGCAAGGATGACTGATGGGCTTCTGGTAATGAAAACCCTCACGAATATGAAAAAAGTGCCAAGTACAGTGTAAGAGGGCATGAAATGCAATTCAAATGTATTTGGGAGGTAATGATTAGTATTGGGATCAATAATAACTTGGTTCTAAGTTTCATAACAGCATCAGCTGTGGGATTAGAACCCACAGCTATTAGAGATGGGTTCAGGTAATAGAAATATTACTAGGATTAACTGTCAAAATATGTGGCTTCAGATCCAACCCATAGCCCTGTCTTCCTTGTGTGATCTTGGGGAATCATGTCACGTCTCTGGGCCTCAGTTAACCCATTAGTAAAATGAGAGTTTGATTGGAAGTAGTACTGTGACCCCCCCTTAACAGAAATGCATAAAGGTGTTTTTAAACTGTTTGTCACAATGATGGGGGACCGCACTATTGACATTCAGCTGTTAATGGCTTCTTATGCTGGGGACATTGAAGCACAAAGAAAAACCATCTCATTTAAAATGCTAATAGTGCCCCAGCTGAAAAACTCTGACGATTTTGACCTGAATGGATAGTCTATGAATAATAGAGCTCATAAGAAATGGGGCTAAGGGTGGGAAACAAACAAAAAAACAATTGCCAGAGAGGTTCTTGATCTGTTTTTATTTTATTATTATTATTTTTTAAATAAGGTGCTTTTATAGGAAACAAGAAAATAACATTTTCAGCCAGCTTTAGAATTCCTCATAGGTGATGCTTGCTTCTAAGATGTTTGTAAATCTGCTCTCTTGTTTCCTTGTTATGTTTCTTCAAGAAGCACTTGAACTATGTCATGAGGCACGTTGGCAAGTGTCCTCATTCCTCTTAGCCTGCCGCTGCCTGGTGTGTGGGGGCTGCCTGAGTCAGGGCGGAGTGAGAAGCCTAGTGTAAATAGTGCACTCCTGTTTCTGCGCGTGGCTCAGAGATTACATTTTTTAGAACTAAATCAAATAATGCTCTGTGAAAACAGTCACCTTGGCCCCAAAGCGATAGGCTAACATGCTCGTTTTCCTGGAGGAATTGGGCAGATCGAAGCTCAGGAATCAGGTTGTTCAGAAAGAATGCAGAAGGTTGTTTAGAAAGACCAATTTTTTCCTTTTATAGGTGAGGAACTTGAGAATATGAAGAGAAGGACTTACCTCGATCACACAGAAAGCTAGTGGCCGAGCCAAACCCACAGGCAGTCGGAAGTCGAGGACCTTGGTTTTGTGCCAGACCTTCCCCGGGTTTCTTCTCACCAAAGTCTGAAGGTAGGTAAAACCTTAATAGGCAAGATCAGAATATAAAGGACCTCTGTGTCCACCAACCAGCCAGATCTACTGTACCAGCAGTGTGAATCTCCCGGGCACGAGGCGGAGAGTTGTAGAGATACCATATGGCTCTGACTTGGTCTTCTTTCGGCAGGCATAGTTGTCCAGTTGATAAAGTCTATTATATTAGTCAGGATTCCTGTTGCAAATGGCAGAAACTCAATCAGCTTAAGTAGTAAGGATTTATTGTCTTCTGTAATTAGTAAAGATGAGAGGTGTTGTGAGGTGCAGAGCCCAGGGAAGACCATCGAGACTCCTGGCTCTCAGTTTGGCTCTCATTTTGCCTCTCTCTCCATTGCCTCTCTCCTTCTTGGAGGTGGGCTGTGTGCCTCTGAATGAGCATATTTGGTGGGGTGTTGGCAATCTCAGACTCAGAGCCTCTAGTACCATTGCAGCAAAGACAAGAGATGATCATTCTTACAGGTTCCCACAGGTGCACGTGAGGGAAAATTTCTGTCGTGTTCTAACTCTGAACTAACTGCAGTGGCCTTGGAACTAGGCTTCTCTCATTGGGTGAGAGGCTTGATTGGCACCTCAGAGCTTAGGGAACAAGCTGGCAAAGGCTGTGTTTAGAACCATGGGAGAAAATACTTTGGTCATCTCGAGCCATAGAGTATAATCAAGGCCAAAGTATTTAACACAGAAGAGACTTATGGCTAGAGTTCAGAAATACAGAATGAGGTGTGAGTAAGTGAGGGAAAACTTTATGGAGGAGGAGGGCTTGAACCCAACTTGAAGTGTACAGTGTTGCAATAAATCTTTACTTATAAAACAGACGGTGCACCGGATTTGGCTCACAGGTTGCCATCAGCCCATTCCCGTTCTCACTCTTCTCCCTGCTTCTACTCTGACTAACCTCCAAGCCAGTTCTTCCCGCAGCAGCCAGAGTGATCTTTTTCAAGATAAATTCAGATGTCACGCCCTTGCAACTTCTGTAGTGGCTACTCTATTTGTTTTGGACAAAAGGCCAATTCTTTGCAACGTGTCCAAAGCCGTGCAAGGGCTTTGGCCCCTGACTATCTCTTCAACTTCATCTCAGCTCCTTTCCCTCCTCAGTGATGTGTACCAGCCAACATGGACATCTTCTGCCCTTGGGACCTGCACACCGCTGTCCTGCTTCAGGGCCTGCGCGTAGCCAGGGTCGCTCTTTCCTTGTTTCTTTTTCCTTTAGTTCCGCTAAACAGAACTTCCTCGTAGAGGCCAGTTCACCCTGTCTGATTTGAGAAAAGCTCCCTCGCCATTGTTTTCTATCTCAATGCTGTTTGCTTTTTTTCAGAGCTCTACCACATTATTCATTCGTGTTTTCTTCTCGTCCGTTCCTCCCCGCTAGATTGGAAGCTCACGGAAGGTAGGGGACGTATTTGTTCCATTCACTCTTACATCCTGAAGGCCTAGACAAGTACCAGGCACACAGTGGAGCTCTGTAAATGTTCTCGAATCATGCACAATCAGAAGACTGGAGATTAAGGGTTTTATTTCTTACCTTAATCTTGCCTGACTTCAAATTCAAAATATGAGCTGTTTACATCACAAAAATCAGGCTGTTCAGGGCTTCTAATTCTCATGCCAGCTGGTCTCTCTAAGCAATTTGGGTTTATTTTCAAAAGTGTGATATATTTTGAATGCGCAGAGAAGGACAGAGCTATGTACCTATCACTCAGGTGCTAATATTTCCATGTTTATTTCAGATTCTTTCTACATTTTAAACATTTTAAATTAATTAAATTTTTAAAAAGCATTTATAAATTGAAAAAATTTTAAAAAGCAATTTTTTTCTTGGACTTTATTTCTCAGAAAATTCTAGGTGAGAAAAAGGACCATATCTTTTTTAGCTCATGTTTCCCGGACCAGTGCATATTCTCTTCATTCATAGCATAATAATTTATTAGTTATCTTCTGCCTGCTTCTTTCAAAAGAATATGAAGCCAGGTCATAACAATGCACAGTTATTTCATTTTGGATAGTTTTCAGTTTTATTGTCAGGGAAAGCTGATCATCAGAAACCTAAGCTAAGGAAATAGACTAAAATCGAGCATAGGATTTAACTGAGTCTTCTTACAGTCAGGGGGGAAAGCACAGGGCCCTTTCATGGCCTCATAAAAACAAACAGCGATTCTTCAGAAGGCAAACCATTTTTTTTCTTTAACACAAAAGCATCTCTCATGCTTGTTCAGCATTTTCTCCATCATCTCCACTTTCCTCATTATTTCACTAATTTTCCCTTTTTTTGGAAGCTGACCTTCATAGTGATTGTCTAGATAAAGCTCTCAGATGGGCCCCTGTTCCTTCATTAGCTCTGGGAGCAAGAAAGAAAAAGAGCGATGTCCTCAGGGTCCCTGTGCAGTCCCCAGTGGAACTATACAAGGGCAAGGGGACTTTCCATTAAATCTTTTAAAACTCACAAAGCCTGCCTGAGCCACGAGAGGTCAATTTTTAATATTCTCCTCATTTTAACAGATGGCAGAGTACACCACAGAGCAGCTGTGACCCTCACTCATTATTCAGAAGCTGCCATCAGAGTTTTTGATAAGCTCCAAGACATGTCAGTCTTAAGTTTGCTGCCTATGAGGTGCCTTAGATAAACACTCTTTAGGGAGAAAATCCTTTTATCGCAGAAATTCTAAGAAGGAATCCATAGAACCTAGTCACAAAGAGCTGAATTTGAATCCCACTGCTGCCAATTACTGGCTGTGCGACCCTGGGCAAGTTACTTAACCTCTCTGTGCTTCAGTTTCCTTGCCTGTATGATGGGAATATTGATAGCATCACCTCATTTGGTTGCCATGAGAACTATGTAGAACACAAGTGAAATGCTCAGCACAGTGCCTGGCATATTGTAAGTCCTTGATGAATGTTATCTGTACCTTGACACCCATGGAGGGAAGGCTGCTCTCTTTGGAGCCTTGCTGTCTGTTTCTCCTCACTGCTCACTAGTTATACCCCTGAGACACTTTCATAGATCTCCTGGGACTTTGTAGAGCACAGTGTGAACACACTGGACTTGCTAGATTTCCCCTGGGGTTTTTGGATTCTTTGGTCTGCTCCGGACTAACGAGCTTTTCCTTCTACAAAAAATTTGAAGATGAAATTAATGAAGCGGCTGCCCCATGGTTAGCAGGAGCTACTGGCAGTGGCTCCAGAACAGAGCCAAGCGTTTCTAAGGGTGCTGAGCGTACCCTTTCCCTCCAGGGAAGAACAGGAAAGGCGGCCTACAATTCTGGCTTGCCCACTGTCATTCAGCATGCAAAGAGACAGCTCCAAGTGCTTCTTCCACTGTTCTTCCTCTGAGTTTCCGAGATTGGCTAGAAGGTGGGCACCCTCATCTGGCTCCATTCAGCTTGCTGACCTGGTGCCAGCAGAGAACCTCATTTCCTGGAAGACGGTCAGGTTACCTGTTTGCAAACTCATTGTCATGACATCAGCTGCCAGATATTTTTCACTGGTGTCCTTGGAGGCTATTTAAAAAACTCATCCACGACCTCCCTTCCTTTTTTTTCTTCCTCACTCTTCATGCAAGTCCAGTACTCTTTGCTGCATATCCCCTGGCAAGTTGACAGCCCCATCTAACTTCTTGCTTCTCTGTCCTGGTTTACTGTCTGTTTTTGACAATCTGGCTTCAATCACAGGCAGCCTCGGAGGGGCCGATTTATCACGCCCGCACCACCGGTCTGTGATCCTCCGAAGCTCTGGGCTGTTTAGTTTCCAGCTGATCTCTCCCAGGTTCATCTTTTTCTCTATCAAGTTTTTCCTGTCACTCTGATGCTCCTCCCCAACTGTCTGACCTTAAGTCACCTTGGGTTGTTGACATCCCTGATGTACCCACCCTAAGGAAGCCAAGGTGTCTCAGTATTTGTGAAAGCTGATTTGCATGAACAAACACAATAGGGATGCTGGACTGTGAAATAATAAGAAATATATATTGGTCTCTGCCCTAGGGTCCTGGGATGGGGCTTCCCAAATCCTTGTAAATAAGGGCTCTAGGAGAATCTTTTGTTCTGACATTTAGTCTAACACTTTAGCCCATTTTCTGAGGCAGAGCTCTTAAAACTCTTAGAATTTCCGGGGTGATAGCAGTGTCTTTTGTTCTAATGAAATGACTCTTGGTGGGATCCTGGATGGGGGCTGGTCACCAGACAGACGAAGCCATGATTAGAAGCTTGGAACTTTCAGCCTCATTCCCCATTCTCCAGAGAGTGGAGTGGCTAGAAATGGAGTTAATAATTGATGGTGCCTACGTGATGAAGCATCTATAAAATCCCAATAGTATGGGGCTTGGGGAGCTTCTGGGTCAGTGAGCCATCTACATTCCAGAAGGGTGGTGTACCCCAACTCCATGGGGACACTTGGAACCCTTCTGGAGCTTGCCCTATGTATCTCTTCATGTGGTCGTTCATCTGTATTTTTTATCTTATCTTAATTTAGGTTTGCCTGATGGATTCTTGTGATTACATTTGAGTTACTCATTCTTGGCCAGAACATTGCACAGATGAAATGTCCTTCTGAGGCTTTCATATCTGGTGGCACTTGATATTCATCTGTCCCTTCTTGGTGATGTTAATTTTGATCACCCAGTTAAGGTGCTCTTTGTCTGATTTCTCCACTGTTCTGTTAGATATGTTTCTCCCTTGCAACTAATAATAAAGAACATGCAAATATCCTGCTCCTTATCACAATTTTCCTATAGATTTAATATTCTTTGATATTTTTTGTCTGATCCAGTCTTTACTAAGATGCTTGCAAAATGCCAATTTTCTAACTCCAGCTTACCTTCCATATTTATCTGTCAGCCCTTAGCATTTTACTATAATTCTTCTACTTTACCTCCTTTTTATTGGAATGACCTCATGAATCCCTATATTTTCTCCCAGTGGTTCCTAATTCATTACTGTCCTGAATCATTTTAGTACCCCAACTGGCTACTGTTTATTTGTGACATGCCC